AAAAAAAAAAAAAAAAAAATCCAGTATATTTTGAGATATATATCTCAAATGATAGCTATAATTTTACCTTTTAAGCTAAGGAAGACACGAAAACTAATCAGACTTCCTAGGACCCTGTAGGCCCAAACCAGTGCTCTTAGACTGAGGTGAATGGTCCTACCTGATGGTAGTATAGAGAGTGAGATGCTATTTATTCTAACAGTCATTCTAGTATGAGCCTTGAAGATAAATTTCAAGTATGTAGAGAAGTACTTACTAGAGATATCATCAATGAAAAAATTAAGATTTTAATATTTGCTGATTTTCCTTTAGTATTTTTTCATTTTTATCAGGGTGAACCAGTTCAGTCACCATGAGTTGGAGCTTCCTCACTCGCCTGCTAGAGGAGATCCACAACCACTCCACGTTCGTGGGGAAGATCTGGCTCACTGTATTGATCGTCTTCCGGATTGTCCTTACAGCTGTAGGAGGAGAGTCCATCTATTACGACGAGCAAAGCAAATTTGTGTGCAACACAGAGCAGCCAGGCTGCGAGAACGTCTGCTATGATGCCTTTGCACCCCTCTCCCACGTGCGCTTCTGGGTGTTCCAGATCATCCTGGTGGCCACCCCCTCAGTGATGTACCTGGGCTACGCCATTCATAAGATTGCCAAAATGGAGCACGGTGAAGCAGACAAGAAGGCCGCTCGGAGCAAACCCTATGCAATGCGTTGGAAACAGCACCGGGCCCTGGAAGAAACAGAAGAGGACCATGAAGAGGATCCCATGATGTATCCAGAAATGGAATTAGAAAGTGAAAAAGAAAATAAAGATCAGAACCAATCTAAACCTAAGCATGATGGCCGACACCGGATTCAGGAGGACGGGCTCATGAAAATCTACGTGCTGCAGCTGCTGGCAAGGACCGTGTTTGAGGTGGGCTTTCTGATAGGGCAGTACTTCCTGTATGGCTTCCAAGTCCACCCATTTTATGTGTGCAGCAGACTTCCTTGCCCTCATAAGATAGACTGCTTTATTTCCAGACCCACTGAAAAGACCATCTTTCTTCTGATAATGTATGGTGTCACAGGCCTTTGCCTGTTGCTTAACATTTGGGAGATGCTTCATTTAGGATTTGGGACAATTCGAGACTCACTAAACAGTAAAAGGAGGGAACTGGAAGATCCGGGTGCTTATAATTATCCTTTCACTTGGAACACACCATCTGCTCCCCCTGGCTATAACATTGCCGTCAAACCAGATCAAATCCAGTACACCGAACTGTCCAACGCTAAGATTGCCTACAAGCAAAACAAGGCCAACATCGCCCAGGAACAACAGTACGGCAGCCATGAGGACAACCTCCCAGCTGACCTGGAGACTCTGCAGAGGGAAATCAAAATGGCTCAGGAACGCCTGGATCTGGCAATCCAGGCCTACAGTCACCAAAACAACCCCCATGGTCCCCGGGACAAAAAAGCCAAAGTGGGGTCCAAGGCTGGGTCCAACAAAAGCAGTGCTAGTAGCAAATCGGGGGATGGGAAGACCTCCGTCTGGATTTAACCTTGGCTGGGCTTAAAACTTGTGCTTTTCATAGTTCACGGTAAGCAGCGGCTCACGGAATAACGACTTCCACTGAGTAAACATTCAGCTCTGGTTATTTTCAGGGATGCTGTTGGCTCATGATCCAAGCTCAGGGGACTCTGAAGTGGGGGCTGGGACAGGGGGAAAGAACGGGAAACACAGTGTTCCTGGACACATGTTCCAGCAATAATACAGTTGCAGAACTTTACATTTGCGTCTTCCAGATCTGGAAAAGAACAGATATATTTAAATCATTCTTGTTGAACAGTTTTTGTATGTACAGTATTATGGTACTTTTTTTTTTTAGTATGAGAACTTTTCTTTGTATTTGTATATTGGACCACTGTAGTTATACTTTTATATTAAAGGGGAAATAATTCTTAAGGTAATGCCTATTAGGCTAGTGTTATTACTTTGTTCAGCAAATTCTACCCTGGATTTAAAGTTTTAATAGATGCTACATACCTAATAAAAGTGCCTCTCGTGTTGCAGGGAAGATTTCAGATATGTAAGGAGCCGGAGGAGGATGAATCAGTTCTGTCTTGGAAAGAAAGTCCATAGTAGAGGGAGGTTGAGATCTTTCTTTGACTTGAGAAATCTTTGAATCTCATTCATGTGTCCAGATTTGTATCTAGTCTTTGAAAACCTATTTGTGTTTTCAAAGAAGATAAAGTGATTCACTGCAGAAGTCCTTTAAATATCAAGCCTTGCCAGTGTATGCTTTGATGGTGTGTATATAATGTTAATTCTTTCAAAAGGCTGGTGCACAAAGCTGTCCTCATCCAGTAGCAGTGTGGAGACCCTGGCTAGAACTGTTCTAAGATTCCTCTGTCACAAAACAAAGGCACTCCTGGGAAATAAGCCCTGATAAGATGTTTAGTTGTGGACCTGTTTGATTTGCCTTAAACCTGTATCCAAACACCTGCCTCTCTGGTTTCTTAAGAAGCCAGTGCTGGATATTTTTTTTATATGGTAACAGTAAAAATACGAAAATTCCCTTCTAGGCTAAAAATTAAAGCTACCTTAAACTGCATATGGCAGAAGGCCTAAATTCAAATTCCTTATTTTTTATAATTCACCATGGAACTTTTATAATTTACATATTTCTGCCAATGTAGGTTTCTGCCTGGAAGACCAGTCAGACCTGGGATTCTATCTGTGAATAGACCGAAAGAGAATTTCAGTATTTATTTGCTATAGGCATGTCTATTAGTTAATGACAAGCATTAATGTTCACATAACACTCGTAATTTGCAGTAGTATTTTACTGCCATTTTCAACCTTCTCTAACGTTGGAGAACTTTGCTCTCCTGTCATGTTCACATCATTTGTCTTACAGTTTATGAGCTTCTGAGTAAGAGCTTTTGGTAAAGATTTAAAGGGAGTGGTGTTTGCTTCACCAGGGAGCTTTCATTTTGGGTATCTCACTCTCTTCCAACAGAAAGTTATTGCAAGCCACCTCCAACTTTGAAATTCCAAGAGTGCTATTTTTTTGACTTAATTTTTAAATGTCAGTTCTCTATTCTTAGAACAGCGTCCTGTATGCAGTTCTTTTTTTCTCTGTTGCTGTCCATTGCATTTCTCCCCCACCTCCACCCCCCGCAAAAGACACTCAGTTGCAAATTTAAGCTTATCTTCTAACCATGCATTTACCTTTATTTTGCTTTTTTTAGTCTGTAAATTTTAGCCTAGAGAAGTTCTTCAGGATCTCTAAACACTTAAGCAAAAGGTAAACTCCCTTGAGACTGAAGGGGAAATTTCAGAAAATGATTTCTACATGTATGGATCCTTGATAATTAATAGACCTGCACAGTTTCCTTGAAACCAAGTGTTTAATAAGGAATTTCAAATATTCTAAAACAGGGAGGATTTTAAATACTTCAGGCCAGCTAAGATAAAGAACTAGCAATAATTCTTATGTCAGTAGAACTTCATGTATATTTCTTAATTGAAGGACAGAAAAAATACACATACATTCACATCCATATTCAGAGCCTGAAGGAGAACAGAGTGGCTTTGCCAGTGGAAGGGTTGGGGATCTGAGTGAGAGAGAGGGAAGGAGTCAAGCAGAAATGCCAGGCAGACATTCGGCGCCAGAAACATCCACTTAGTTTCTACAAACAGGGCCTCTGGTGTTTCATCTGGGCTTGTTCTGATGAGAATGTTATCTTTTGTGTCTGGATAATTCTTCAACTTCCTCAAGTACATAGAAAGATATTCTGGGTCACTTCACATGTGTTAAGGTCTATTTTTATTCTCTCACTAAAGTTCTAATTATGACATAGATTTCCCAACTCTCACTGCTTTCTTAGTCCATTTCTTTCAGCCTTTGAACATATGAGTTTGCCAAGGCCATTCTCCCCTAACAACATGTCGTGGACTTACATTAAGAAAACGGCCCTATCAGTGTCTAGCTTGTTAACCCATTAATTGGGTCTACATTGAGTCTATAAAATATCGTTCCAGTTACTGTTCTGGAACTTGCAGGTATTTGTATAAAACACCTGTCAGCAGGGTTTTTTTTCCCTATCAAAATCATTCCTTTGAATTGCTGTATAAGACATGCTCTGTAGGGCTTCCCTGGTGGCGCAGCGGTTGAGAGTCCACCTGCCGATGCAGGGGACACGGGTTCATGACCCGGTCCGGGGAGATCCCACATGCCACGGAGCGGCTGGTCCCGTGAGCCATGGCTGCTGAGCCTGCACGTCCGGAGCCTGTGCTCCGCAACGGGAGAGGCCACAACAGTGAGAGGCCCGCGTACCGCAAAAAAAGACATGCTCTGTCGTATGACATTTGCTTCTCTAAATAGAAGTTGAGTGCTTAGTCCTTCACAGACTACAATCAGGATATGGTCAACATGTTATATTCCTTAAAATACAGTTGGATTTATTCAGATGTGGTGTGTCCTTTGTTCATCTTTGTTACAATTATTCAGAAGAGATCAGTAAAACAAATAGGCTTTTTTTCTTAGTTCAAATTTGAGGGAAGAATTATATAACATTTTCCCCTAAAGAAATGTTACTGTTCATTTTGTGGCTTCCTCTTTGCTTTATGCCTTAGTTTCGCCTGTTTCTATATTTGTTCATTTAAAACCACAAGCGTGTTACTTCATTGAAGTCAGTTTGTCTGGGGATTTTCCTTGACTGACGTCTATAGACTTTCGATAAAAAGGAACTTTGCCAACTAAAATGGTTCTCACAGGTTAGGGCTCCCACATATCTGTCTTTTAGAAGGACACCTATATCTTTAAAAAGAAAAACGTCATCATTAGGTACCTTAACTGTCATTTCTTCATGGTATGAGACTAGGCAGTTCACTTTACTTTTCCAAGTTCCAGGAGCCACTTACCTCTCAGAAGTGTTATGAAGTAGTTAGAAAAAGCGTCTGGTAAAAAGTATTAAAAAACCAACTATTATTGTCATTTGTCTGACCTTGGAGCTTCAAAAAAAAAATAGGTGAAAGAACTATGTGATGTAGTAAGAAGTCCTTCAGTGCTCTTTATCACAGGAATCAGTGATTGTTTAAAACACTTAACTTGCTCTAAGCAGTTTATACCAAGAATGGACTTAAATGTTATTCCTATTAGTCATACCTATGCTTTACCCGTTATGCTTATAAACGTCTAGGCTTTACGTTTTCTGTCTCATTTAAGAGACAGTACACTGCTAAAAATAATACCTATAGTTTAGGATAAATTTTTGGCCAGCCAGTTTTTTTATAAAAGGCAAGTATGTTATACTTGAACCTACTTCACAAATGCGTTTTTATACAGGAAAGGTCTTTCCCAACTGTGAAGAAAAGTACCTGAAGTCAGAGATATGCAGCTGCTGGTCATTTTGATTGGAAGGTTCCAGTTGTTAGATTAATTTTATCTTTATAAAATCATGTAATTTCACGAAGAGTCTTACCACCTGAAAGTAAAGCCCCTGCACCTATACAGTGCAGAGTTTGGAAATAAAATTTCAACTCGCCTATATATCGTAAATCTGTAGTAATCCACAGTTACCATCAAAGATTAGAGTCACTAGGTTGACTTGCATACTTGTCACTCATTCTGGCCACATGTCCTGGAGAGTTTAAAAGATTTTATTTGTTGTCCCTAATGTGCAGTTGTGTTGTTTTTGTTGTTTTTAATAATGATGTTAAGTGAGTTTGGTTCATGCACATTCCATGTTAATAATCATACTTTTGAAAGAAGCAATCCATGTATTCCAAAATTCAGGATTCCAAACAAAAGAAAGCCCTGCTCCCGTGCAAAATCTCTACAGAAATAAAAGAAGTAAGAGTTCTGCATTTCAGGGTTGGCTTGCTGAACCAGCAAAGACATTTGGCTGTATGATTCCAAGATTGGAAGTGGTTTTCTTTTCTGTACTCTCTATTGTGTTCTCTTCGATAAATCTCTTACAGAAGTCTCTACCTCAGGCACTAAGTGTTAGATATGATTAGCATATTGATACCAAAAATCTTAGCTAGGACTTCCAACTTTTTAAGATAATTTAAATGTAAAATTCAACTGTTAACCAGCAATTTAATGTCATGTGATGTGCAGTTTGGATATTGTATGAACAGCTAAGGAGTTACCCATTCTAGTGCCAAAGATCACTCGTTGCTAATTTTGTTCTGTACAGTTGATGTAAAATTTTATGGTGGGGACAGACTCTGCTGAGGGCCTTGTCTCTAGGAAGATTTTTTGTCAGTTCCAGATGTTTTTGTCAGTTCCAAATACAGTTTAGAAGATTCATTCGTGGTCTGTGCATCTTTTTCCAAACGTGAAAACTCAACTGCCAGGAGATGTCATATTGAGGATTTTTACCCCATTCTTTGTGTCAGATAGTGCCCGAGAGCTTAATGGTTTACACAGAAAACCTGATATGAAAGTCTCTTCCCATACCTTCACCTGTAAGTTGATCTCAGTGGAAATACGTGAGCAGGAAATTTTCCAAGTAGAGGTTTGGGCTCAAAAGATGCCTTTTTTCATAGCTGGGTTAGAACTCCTCTGGAATGGCTGTGGCTAAAAGGATTTGGCGTGTTTGTGGCATCACAGTCTGGGAGGCGTAGGTGGCCTTAAGGGTGGAGGCTAAGGTCTAAGCACAGAAACCGGGAACATACCCGCTCTCTGGCTCCCTTTGGTTCTCGAGGCCTGGAGAAGAGGAGTGCCTTCTGAGAAAGATGCTCCTCACAGACGTAGACCAGTCTTGGTGTGACTAATCCACTTTGTGAGAATAGCGGATGTGGGAGAGGGCTGAGGAGAGGGTAGCATTTATTCCAACAATGCCCTCTGTTACCCCAGACACAGAATAGCTGACTGAGTGACAGAATAGGTCATGCATCAAGCCCACCCTCAGCGGCACAGATTGTAAACTGGTCAGCCAACCATATTTGGTAATAAACTTGT